ACTTTTCATCATCTCGATATAGAAAATTATATCGCGAAAAGATATCGGTTGGGTGGCCATTGGTATCCCGCTTTTTTCACACCTGTTTCACGACGTTCCGCGAAACGGACGATGCTCGCATAAATCGTAAATAAACGCGAGTCGGTTGCGTGTCGAGGAGAGGGAGGGATGGAGTGTCGTCAGTGGCAGGCAAACACGTGTAAAATGTTGGCGGGGAATCGATGGTACAGGCGGCGTCCTCGTGCACGTCGACCCCCCACGGACGAGCTTACAAATCAAAAATTAGATTCCGGCTACGGAACGCCGGCCACTGCACGCCACCAGAGAGAAGCGAGAAAAAATTCATTTATACGCGGCCCCCGATAAATGACGGGCCGAAGAAAGGCCGACTACCTGTCGAACCTCGGTAATTCGAAGCTGGAAGAGGAGAGAGGAGAGGGGCTTGGGCCGAGAACACGAGAAAAATGCCGTCGTCAAGCGAGAATTTTTCAGGTGCGACAACGAACAAGCGTAAATCATACCGGTTGTCCGTTTGCATTCCACGCGTCTTTCGCATGTTACGAGAGCATCTGCTTCGTGAAAATTCTCCCATAGGTGTACATATAACCTCATCCCGTATTAATTTTAATCGAAAAGAAAATATTATATAGGAGAGACACTTTCTACGAAAGAATCGATCGATCGAACGTGTATTCGGGATTATTGTTGAAAACTCGTAAGTTTTTCTTCGATCGAATTGTATAATCGAATAAAGCGGAAGGAAGGAAAGTAACGAGGGATGCATTATGAACATAGGTGAGGTACATAAAACGTCGAGGGGAGGGGCTAAGAACGGGCCGAAAGAAATTCTGGTCGCCACGAATTTATTAACCGGTGGAGTCGTTTCGATGGGTTAAGGTGAAAAATACAACCGGAGACAAGGGTTGGGACAAGTCCATCCGGTAGTTTTCTTATCGACTCGTTTGAATAAATATGATCCTCCTCCTGCGCGTGGCCGACATTCTGCGCGAAAAGTACGGCGCATTGTTGCAAATATACCGTCGTTTTTACGATTTCCTTTGGTAAAACGAGAAACGCGTCTCCCTCTTTCTTTCCAAGAAATGTAAATTGCAACCTGGTTGATGTTAAACGCCTCGATACACACGCGCGCACATCGTCGAGCCAGACAGGTTACAAACAACGGCGCCCTTTTTTAAAATATTTCGGAAAATTTTTTCGGAAAGGATCCTTCGAAAAAAGGAATAAGAAATAAAATTAATCCGAGGAGGGAAGTAAAAGCGGAGATAGAAGGATGATCGATAAAAAAAGAGAAGGATAATAAACGAAGGAATGGAAGGGGAGAGCAGAAGGAATCGATCGATGGAGTATCGCGATGCATTACGAACGAATGGCAAAACCGTCTAACGAGATTAAAACGATCGTGAAATATCGACAGATCCCTTCGATCTTTGCCGCGGTTAATGGCCAACCTGAAGATCGAACGATCGGCCAATCGGCGAACATCTCGGCGAACATCTCGCCATTTATCGCCGCCCATTTTGCCACCGAGAGGAACGAAACGAAACGACTCGCGCTTTACTCCCGCCTTTTCCAAATACGCGAATCGTGTACGAAACGAATATCGTAGCAATAAAAATTTCCATTTTCCATTCGTTATCTCTGCGAACGAGAAAGCCAATGTCTCCTCATAATCGAGCCCAGATATGTATATATATATATATATATAGATATATAGATATATATATAGATATATTCTCGCCACTCGACGAAATTCGAAAGTTGGATGGTCGAACGGATTTCTTACGGTTGACGCGAAATCGACAGGCGTACAAAGGTTCGAAACATCGAACACAGAAACACGTCCCTTTTTCCACGCTTGATTCGTTTCTGACAGAAGGGAATTCGAGATGAGGGACGTTCTCGAAAAAATCGAAACGGCTCTCTCTCTCTCTCTCTCTCATTCTTCCCCCCCTCTCTCTCTATTCGAAGCAACCCGAGTTTGTAACAGGACTCGTAAAACGACGATGTTCGCGCGCCACGAGAGTTAACGCGCACGGATTATCCTAGGCGAGGATGATCGATAACACTGTGTCGTGGGCCGGTTATCGGTCGTAGCGTGCGCGTTGTTACGTCAAAAAAAGTGACACTGATAGACCGAGGCCTGCGCCCCTCTCGCCGCTCTCCACGCGACTAGGTTAATTCGAACTTACACGCTGTCGCGTGTTAACTCGAACCTCTTCTTCTTCCTCCTCTTTCTTTTTTTTTTTTTTTTCCGTTCCCGTCCGCTCTTTCTCGGTCTCCCCTCGATTTCACGCACACAGTTCGCGTTAGGAGCGAGATGGAGAAGACAGTTTGACGAAAATAAACAGAATTTTAAGTTAAGTTAAGAACTTGAATTGAAACACCATTAAATTTTTCGATTTAATTAATTGTTGTTAAAGTTACTTTTCCCTCAAACATGTATAATAATAAAACGGATCAATTGTAACAGCTTGAATAAATTATAATAACTTGAATAAATTTTGACTATTTCAACGTTTGATTACTTGAAGTAATTTTATTTTTAATTAGTTACTTTTTTAAATTAAATTAACTGTATTCTGTTTCCGCTTGAAATTCTTTATCGGTTTTGAATTAAATAATATTATAACGAGTGATTCCGTGTAGATTTAACTGCGATTCGTTAAACTCTACTTAATACTTGAAAGTTATCGAATTCGATCGAGTTAGGAACATGAGGACAATTTTCGAATACAAAGGTGGAGCATGATTCCATGAGGGTTGTTGCGAATAGGAGCTACTCAAACAAACGTTTTCGATAAGTTGGAGCACGTAAAAATGTCACGTTTCTTGACACATTTCAACATTTCGCTTATATCTTTACTTCGATTTCTTCACCCTTTTTTCTTTCCTTTCCTCTCGAACGGACCCTTTGTCCGCGAGCATCGACGAGCTGGAACACGACGATGCGGCGAATAGAATAACGCACAATAGGGAGGTATTGTAAAAAACGATTTTTAGCAACGGTTACGTTTTCGACGAGACACGTGAGAAACGCTCTCACGCTTTCCAACGGGTTTTTTTATTAAGCAGTCTGCAATCCGCCCCATACACGAAGAAATTAAACGAGATATGATATAAAAAAACATCTGTTTGTTAATAGTTCAAGATCCGTGTATGGAATATCGTGGCAAGAAACGAGTCGTTTTTAATTTTAAAAAAAAAACGATTGGTCGATTACTCTTTCTCTGAACGTTTTACTCGTTATTTTCCCTCATTTACGGGGGTCAGTGAGCTGTGAAATTGAATCGTTCCGCGGAAAACGCTCTCGATTAAAGCTCTGAATCTGATCTGAGAAACGTTCGACGAAAGAATTAAGATATAGAATTAAGATCGTCACCGCTCTATATTATTCGACGACCGGTTGAAAGCGAGATATCCGAGCTGTGAGAATCGCGGCCTGGAAACTGGTTAAATGGACTTCTTCTCTCTCAAGAAGTGGTTCGTGGAAAATCGTCGCGAAACATGAAAAGAAACGTTCCAAAGAGAGGCAAGTGTTATATAGGTTTCAACGTTGACAACCGCCATTCGCAACGTTCTTCTGCAGCGATTCCAACCATTCACTGATCGTTCTCTCTCTTTCTCTCTCGTTTTTTAAATATTTTATCACTGATATGCTCGAATCTCTCGCGTTGGATACACGTTAATAAACTTGATCGCTAATTCGACTCACGTAGCGACATCTACTGTTTCATTGGTGGAAAGAAGTCTCGCGAGTTGTGATTGGTTGATTTTTCTATCACGAATTATCCAAAATCGTATTTAAACCTCGATGCATTCCAGAATATTCTAACGATGTAATATAAAAATTTTTCTATTTCTAATATTACGATTTCTAATTCGAGTATATGAGATAAAAATTGTATAAGCTAGATATTATAGTTTCGAAAATATTTCAACGTCCATTATTTCATAAATGAAAGTAATTTTTACGATTTTGAGCTGAGATAAAAATTGTGTAAGCTAGATATTATAGTTTCGAAAATATTTCAGCTTCCATTATTTCATAAATGAAAGTAATTTTTGAGCGTTCAAATTGTCTTCTACTGTTACGTTGAGCGCACGCAGATGATTCAACGAAGCGTCAGTGAACACTATATTTCATTTCTAGATTACGTTAATTTCTCGTCTCGTTACCGGGCGAGAATCCAGCCGAGATCAGCGGCGTTGATCCGTCCCAGAAATAATGGGGAGGCTCGCGTATATAAAAGTTTGTCGGGGATCCCGCTGAGCGGAAACCGGACGCGGATGGACCAATTATGTGGAGGTTTCTCTCGGACAATTTTACATTCGAAACATTCGTGCGAGTATACACGAATCTTCGGGCGCAATTTTTTCTTGCTCGAGTGACGTTCCACTATAGTGACGACGAGAACGAAACGAGAAAGCTCGTGATTTGGATTTAGATCGATCGAGGTATCGATGGCTTCCGGTCTATAATAATAAACGTTTCGTTCGTGGGAAAAAATAAGGGGGATTTTTACGAGTTACGTAGTCGTTTCGGTCGATAAGAGAGGAGGAAAAAGAAGGTTTGAAGAAGAAAGGCCGAGGGATAATGGCGGCTCGAGCGTTTACAGGATAAAAAGATCGAGTTAGAAACGGAATCGGATACGAAATATCGCCGCTTCGAAAAGCTTTTGCCTTCGTTGGTCGAATAGAGTCATCATCATCATCATCATCATCATAATCGTCATCATCATCATCATCATAATCATCGACGACTCGTCTCGGTAAAATGGCTCCCTCCTCTCTGGCAAAGTATACGAACCAATCCTTTTTACACCGTCGTCGTTTTCTTTTGCCGTCGCCGCAAAAGAAAACGACGGTGGATCTTTACGGTTCGATGGCGCGAGAGAGAATCTCACGGCTATGTCCTCGGCTACTTTACGACGGCGCTCGCCTTCTAATCGCTCGCTTTTTCGCTCTTTTTTTTTTTGCAGAAGCTCCTGGAGAACTTGGATGGGTGCTGACTCTAGTGATAGTGTCCTTAGTGTCGGCGGGTATCGGCGCCGTGGTCATGGTGACGCTTCTCCATTGTCGAAGGTCGGTACGACGACACACATACTTCCCTATTTCTATCCCCTTCTCTCTCTCTCTCTCTCTCTCTCTCTCTCTCTCTCTCTCTCT